CAGAGAAAACCTCAGGTGAGCTGCTCTCCTTGTTTTCCTAAGCTCTGATTGAATTTAATGTTCAGTTTTTCTCACATGGCTTGCATTTCTATTTCCCTCCAGATCACAAGCAAATGCTGAAGAAGGCACAGATGGAGCTGAAGAAGAGCAAAAGGAAAGATTACTACAAGGTGCTCGGGGTCGGGAAGAATGCTACTGAGGACGAGATCAAGAAAGCGTATCGCAAACGAGCACTCATGCATCACCCAGGTAGCTGTCCTAGTCTTTCCACACAGTTCACACTAGTACAGCTCACAGTAATCAGGGCTCTGCCTAGAGTATTGGTCAGATTTAAGTGCAGTGTGCACACAGTAGGTCAAGGCCAACCAATGACAAGACAACGCATCACTTTTTCTCTGTACTTTACACATTACAACAACCAGTGAATTGTGTTAGGATCATGAGCCAGCTGAGCTACAACATCACTTAACAGTTGAGTCTCACTTATCTCGAGGATTTATTGTAGACAACCGTTGAAATTGTCTTGCAGACCGTCACAGTTCAGCAACACCAGAGGTGCAAAAGGAGGAGGAAAAGAAATTTAAAGAAGTGGGTGAGGCCTTCACTGTCCTCTCCGACCCGAAGAAGAAGGTCCGCTATGACAACGGGCATGACCTGGAGGATGACGGCTGTTTTGATGGCGGAGGTACATTTATATTCCCTCTGTGCTCCTATCGGCTTTTGAGTTGGGAAACGGGTGCATCTAAAGAAAAGAGTAACCCAGAAGATATTTTGACCTGTCATAGTGGGAAATAGCAGTGGCTTTGTCATTTATTATAGGGCATTTGTTTGTACTTGGGTAATTAATAAGACCAATAGATCTTTTAGACCTAGTAGGAAACCCAGGAGATCATGATTGTCTGAACAATGGTCGTGTTTACATTTGAAAAAGGGCAAAAACCTTTTTAAGGGTTTTGGGTTTTCTGTAGACTTCATATATGATTATTGCCCAGTTTTACATGAGAAAGTTCCAAGATTTTTTGGGACCTCATTTAAATTAAACACTGAGACATGTCAACACAGAAAAAAGTACAATTTAATTTCCATAATTTAGTTTCTAGAAACTCATTCCATGTTTCCATGCAGCAAGTCCCCGTGTCCCTGACTTGCTGTCAAACTGTCAAGACCTAATGGGACGCTTTAACAGAACACGGGCAAATTTTCATACATTACTAACCATTTTGACCATGCAATGTCAGTTAAAATGTCTGCTTGTGTAAGAAGGCCTTTTATAATGTGGCATCCCATGACGGTCCCTACAAAATCAAGTGTCAGTCGCCTTTAGGTGATGGAACTGAGTGATATGGCTAAAAAAACAAAAACTTTGTATCTCAAAACTAATATCTGTGTTCCTAAGAGAAACTATAATATATACTACAAAATAAAATCGTTAAGTTTATTGTTAAAGTTTTACTACAAATTTTTATCATAAAAACCTTGTTTCTCAACTAAAATAAGCAAAATATTTAAATAATTAAAAGAAATGGTGTAAAATATGTGAGAAGATGTGCGGAGACGGTGGAGTGCTGGCGGAGGCGTCCCTTGGCTTTGTTGGCCGTTGTTATTGGAAGTGAATGACATACTCTCCATCGCCAGTTTATAAGAAGCTGCAGCTGTCAGCAGTGATTGAGTCGCTGAAATCAGCCGCAAAGCAGCAGTAAAGTAGTAAAGCTGATTGGTCCAACTCACGCAAAAATTTTCAACCTTTTCTCCTCCAGAAAAGGAAATAAGATGCATTTATAGCCAAAATGCAGACAATTACAACATGTACGTGCTAATCCACATAGAAACTATGAATCAACTTTTACAAACACGGTTATTATATATATCTTCCACCTCTAATAGGTTCCACTGTTTCTAAGTCTCATCTTAGAGCATCACTGTATGTGATTAGTGGCAGCATGTTTTGGTCTTTTCAGTGTCACCCTGTGGTTTTAATTGTAAAGAGTTTAGAAGTAAAATCTTCTGAAGTCACCGGTCTGCCTGCAGGAAATAAAATTTGCGATGCATGTTGTTGTCTATATACTGCTGTGGAGACAAAGTCCAGTGAAAACAATGTGAAAAATCTTCCTTTAGAAAGGATACATTTTTAAAGCTACTAATTTGATTCAAAAGTTGTTTTCAATATATGGACATAAAACAACACTAACATCGGAGGCAACAATGTTGCATTACGTTGTGTCCAGAAAGCTGGCTGTAAAGTTTCAGAAGATATTAATTGTTTTGAATATTTCTCACAGAATACAACAAAGAGCAACATACCTTGTGAAAAAAGCAGAAGTCCAATTCATACTGTGACGTACACGATTTATCAGCAGGCTGAAATTACTGGTTGATACTGGCTAATTGCTGATCAGCTGGTATCACATATATAACAGCTGAGATGGAAGAAACCCTTTTGACAAGGTTACGAGTGTTGATGTTGTAGTTTGTCCACCAGAGGGCGCTTTGCAACTTCAAAAGAGCAACAACCAGCTGATCAAAGTAGAACTAAACAAGTAAATGTTTGGGAATTTTTTTGCATTGTGTGTCTGAAAAGGAAAAATATTGGCTGATATCTGATTTTTAAATCGACAAATATCTGTACTGTTCTAATACTGGTTTGCCAGTATGAGGCTGTACATTTAAGTCCAGTTAGTTATCTGTTACAGATTGGACCTGTACTAAAAAAATAAAATAAATAAATAAATAATAATTAAAAAAAAAAAACCCAAAAAAAACACTTATAGTTCCTATTTCTCTTTAAATAATATGTGCAATATATCACATAAATTGTTTTCCTTCCTGTATTTCCATTCTTTTCCCATCTTTGGCTTCCTTTTATCCTCCATGTTAACCTTGCTCTACTTCCTGTTTCTACAGATTTTGATGCAAACAACATCTTCAGGGCTTTCTTTGGTGGCCACAGTGGAGGATTCACTTTCGATTCCAGCCCAGGTACGTTTTCTCTTCACTCCATGGTTTTTATATATACATAGGTTTATTGAACACTAACTGAATATTTGTTTTGTGATTTATTACAGACTCTGGACCTGGAAATTTCTTTTTCCAGTTTGGCTAAAGCAGTGGAGCATACACTGGACAAAGTCAAGTCGGACCCACAGTCACCTCATGATGCTCATACTTATGAGTGTCCTGTTAAAATCTCACTTAAAAAAAAAATCTTCTTTTGAAATACCGCATACATTCCTAAATTAACTCCCTTGCATTGATGCTCAGCCTTTGAGAAGGATTCAAACATTGATGAAGTCTTTAAAAAGTCTTTTAGATGCAGTTTGCATCAGCTGGGCAGAGCTTGTCTCTATTGCCAAAATTGACATTTATGTTCTATGAAATTTCATGTTGTTAAACTGCCTCAGTCTCTATGAAGGGGATGAACAGTGAGGACATACTGGCCATCATGTCTTGATTATTTTGAGAAGCTGTAACGATGCATACGTGTTTAAAGTTCTCCTTGGACTGCACATCTCTAGTGGAAGAGCTGATGTTCTGTGGAAGTTCAGTGACAAATCTGACCTCAGGACAGCCTGTTAATGACAAGGCCGTTCTCTTATGAGTGTGCGTCCAGATTTTACTGGCTCTCTTGCCAAATACAGAATCCAGTTGCAGGGTTTTTATTTCCTCTCCATTCTTCATTGTATATTTGACTCGAATGTAAAACATTATGTGTCCACACATTGTCCTTCAGTCTTCCCTGAGTCTATTTATATTTATTGTACTGTATATCCTAAAGTGTATGCAGCAAAATCCCAGTGATGTTCGTCTTCCTTTGTTTGTAAATGTTTTTGACCCCATCCTTTTCACTCATTTTTCACCTGTCTGAAACGGACCCACATAGGAATACATCCACACTTTGTTTTTGTTTTGTTCTTTTCAAAGCAACTTCACAAACGTCATCCACATGTTGCACTGCCCCATTCAAATTCAAGTGGTGCCTTACTAGAATCAGTGAAGCGTCCTAAATAAATCCACATACTAGTTCAAAAAAAAGGCAGATGTTACACTTGTATAGCAATTTTTTGGTTTTATGATAATCTGGAGGAAAATCTTTTCATCTTGGACCCGTGTCATCAGTCACACTTTGCTGTCATTCATCCATTCATCAGTACAACCCTTCCCCTACTTGTTCCACCTGTTTAAAGGGGCACTGATAGCTTCCACTGTTAACTGTTCTGTCACTGATGTGTACATTACGTTTAAAAACTTGCTACGGTATCAACAAGACCTTTTTTTTTTTTCTTCCTTTTTTTGGACTTTTCTTTTTTAACTGGTAAAATAAAGGCTTGTCTTTTACTGTAATGAGTTTTGTCTTTGACTTTGTTCCTGATGATTACTTTTAAAAGACAGGATATCATCTTGTCCAGCAGGTATATGTAATCACTTTGATCACTTACAGATTCATATCACACTGCATATGAATAATGATTCACTGCGAAAATGACTTTGTTTACAACTCTGGTTTCACTGAGTGCTGAAGTAAAGCTCTGAAAAAAGGAGCGGTGTTAAGAAAGTTCCTCTTTCTTTTATAAGTTTCACAGTGACTTCTTTTTATAACGATCTATAAAAATTGGAGACATTCAAGCTTGTTGATAGCTCCTCGGCACATTTTAAATCAAATAACCAGCTATAGAATGACTCGAATAAAACCCCCTATTGGGTTTTTCTTTGTAAACTTTAACCAACGTGCTTTTCACCTTTGTTATTGATTTCAGACTTCACCGGTAACTCCAAAGGAAGCAATTTTTAAAATCAATATTTATAAATATTGGCAAATTCAGATTTTTTATACTATAACTATTTGTAGTGCAGGACCTAAAATAAGAGTTGTTTAAAGAGAAGCGGGGAGGGGGCGTCAATAACATTTTCTAGGTTGGCCAATTTTTTTTAAATTTTTTTTTTTTAACAATGCCTTGGTCGTGACTGACGTCACCACGTGACCTGTTTTAAGCCAATCAGGCACTCGTAGAGACGTGTAATCGGTCGCCAGATTATGGTTCGACAGGAGCGGAGTGAGGTGGCAGGGACTGGCAGCAGTTGACTCCGGTATAATAAGAGCTGGCTGTTTAGCTGTGTCATTTTTTGGCCTGGACACGATCCTTCAAGAAGGTGTGATTGTCACTGACAAGGTAACAGCTTTCACTCAGCTACTTTCTACTCCAGCGTTAGCCAGCTCTTCTTTGTAGCCTTTAACTGGCAAGTGTCCGCACCAATGCGAGGCTACAGCGGTTAGCCGTAGTGTTAGTCTTCAGGGTAGCGGATGTGAGATGATGTGAGGGCTGTCTGCCAAAACTGCAGCAAAGTGCTAGCTCGGCAGAGCAAGAACAAGTATGGTCTTTATTGAAATTTTGCCCAATTGTTTTGCTTGAAAACAGCATATCCGAAGTGATGTGCTTTACTTTTTCAGTGATAAAAGCAAGCAAGCTAGCTTATCCTTGCATCATCCGCAGAGAGGGAGCATCCTCCTGTTTTATTCCTTATCGTGAAGGTTTTCGTACTGCATTTATTTCTTCTCTCCCGGAAGTTCTTTCTCTATTTACCCAGAGTGAGCTAGCTCAAGTTGTTGTCAGGCTTGCCTGGCTGGCTGGTTCAGGAGTGGGTGTGGTGGCTGCTACAGGAGCTTCATTCATAGGATAAGTGATGCTAACCCCTGAGTTCGTCTGACAGCAGCTGTGTCTGAAGCAGCACCCAACCCCCCTTGGTTGCCACTCTAACAGCTGCCATCAGGTCCAGCTTCTTCATCCCACAAGCCTGGACAGCACAACTAATTGCACGGCAAGGTAGCTTCATATAATACACTGGACCGGTGGATTAATCTGGCTAAATTCTGGACATCCGTCTCTAAAAGTGGAAGGATAGCCTGCTGTGATGAAGCTGTTAGATTTCTTGATTTCTCTAAGCGCTGCCCCTCCTTAGGTTACCAGAAGCTCAAATATAAACCACCATAAAATGTTATCAGTGACACGGAGGTAGAGGCGATAAGATCCACGTAATCAAGGCTCATTACTGCTCATTACAACTTTGCTTGGTTGGTGGGTGACTTGGTAAATGTAAAATTTTTAGGCTTTTTAATGCATTTCTTTTTTATACACCATAGTGTGCTGCATCTTATTATACTGAACTTTAGGCTATGAACCCCAAAAAAACAGTCGCCTAAATATTCATGATTGTGTATATTTGTGGTGAGGCAAAGTTGGTTGAGCACGCCCAACAACTTCCTGGGATGTTAAAACAGGAATGACAAGGTCATCAGTGCAGGCTGTTGTGATAATCCGTCACGTGTTTACTGTAAGATTGAGAAACGGGTTTGACTGAGAGCTTGTTTAGTATTTGGTTTTTATACATTTTTGATTTTCTAATAACTTGGTTCTCTACTTTTGTGTTTAACTGCACTTAATCTGCAAAATAAGTCTTTTTAGATGTGTGCATACAGAATTTGACACTTATCATGGGCATGAAGGTCATGGTGTCATGGGCTTTTAATGGTTTATTTGAACTGCTCCTTCTCCACAGTGGAATTGTTTCTTTATTGACATACACCCCTCCCAATATTTGGCTAAATGTCCTTTTGCAAGTTTTACCTAAACACTTTTGGTATCCATCAAAATGCACCTGTGCATTGTTTTAATTTTTAACTTAAGTTTGGACTCTATTCCCAGTTATCAGTTTTCGTCCTTCCCCAAAGGTCCTGCTCTATCCAGCGCTGCCATGTCGGCGAAGGCCATCTCAGAGCAGACAGGGAAAGAGCTGTTGTATAAGAACATCTGCACCTCGGCGGCCGTGCAGAACCGTTTCCATTATGCTAGTGTAACAGCTGAGACTGACTGGGCCCGCCTCACACAGGACCATTCATGGCTGCTGACAGAGGTAAGACTGTTTTTGTCCAGCTCATGAAGCCTGATTACAACCTTCAAAAGTTAATTTACCTACATGTGCTGTATTATAACAATCAGAGTGATTTGCATAGACTGTATAAAAGATGCACACAGCTTTCAGGTCTGAAAGGTGAAGCCATTTTGCACTGCCTTTAATGGTCACCAGGGACACATTAAAAACAATGCAGGTTTTAGACATTTTGCTATCACAGATTACAAAAGATTTAAAGTCCTAACCCTCGTTCTCAGTGTTTCAAAACAGGACTTCCACTCCAACCAGTGAGTTATGTCACATCAATCTTTTATAGTATCAGTGGTGACTGACTGGACACATCTGAAATGTGTCTGAACCTTTGCTGTGCCCATGTGTCAGTGCAACAACATGTCTGGCTCATGCGCTTCCTGTTTCGGCAGTTGATTGGCTCTCTCACAGCAGGGCTGGGAAACCCTACCCATCTTTATTGTTTCTACCATAGTCATACCACACTATCATACCAAAAAAAAACCCCACGTGTGTCCTGTTTCTTTGCTCATCCCAAAAGAGGCTGGTGGTGAAGCCAGATCAACTGATAAAGCGGCGCGGGAAGCTCGGCCTAGTGGGCATCAACAAGGACCTGCAGGGTGTCCGGGAGTGGCTCAAAGACCACCTAATGAAGGAGACAACTGTGAGTTAACTGTACTCTCTCTTAGTGAGCATAAAACCCAGCCATGACTGTCTTTGTGGCAATAAAGCAAATCCACGTGCTGCAGTAGTTGGAACCACGAGAAACACATTGCATCATTTTCTGAGGAGGTATTTGATTCGAATGCAGTGACTGTTGCCAAGTAGAACATGACTGACGTGCTGTTCATGTTTAAAACGTCATCAACCAGAACCATATGTGAGGATGGCTTTGCTTTGCTAATACAGGG